ACAAAATTTAGGCCAATTAAAAGTTTTCACAATTAGAAAATTTGGTTGGTTGCGCATGCATTTTTTTAAAGTAGCAACAGTTACGTTAAAAATGTCGATATTAGGCACCCGGGACGTCTTAATGTTGATTTACTGTAACAAATAAATTAGTAAGTAATAAGTAGTATCACAAAGTTGAGAAATAAGAGCTGAAATGTATTTATTTCCTTCCGGATAACAAGCCAAAGCTTTTGTACGCGAAGCATTGTTAGGCAATTAATTAAATTACGAATTGTCTTTTACTGAGAACGGTATTGAGTTCCATTTATTTTCTGCACTGTCACAATAAGGTATATCGCTAATGAACCTCGTCAATCGTTAACAAGGCTAATTAGCACAGCTAAGGGCTTGATTCAACGGATTGTTTCTGTTACAATTACAGTAATATTCTGTTACAGTTCATGTAAGAGAAAAGTGGGAAACTAAATGATTTGGATAATCAATCAATCAATATATATACATTAACAGATAAACACATGATTAGGTACATAATACAAAATAGTGTAAAATAGGTGGTCTTATCGCTCTGTAAGCAATTTCTTCCAGACAACCATTGTAATCAGAACTGATAAAATATAAAGAAGGGAGCAGAGGGAGGTCGATAAAATATAATTAGGCACAGTTTGAAGGAACTCTTAGATAAATGCTGTAAAGGAATCTTGCATTTAGAGGTTCATGTAATGAGATTTCGCTAGTTTTTTAAAGGAAAAAAGAAAAAGCTCGTCGAAGGGGTAAAGGATTCCACAAATGCACGGCCGTGAAAGATGTATTGTATAAAGATGATTAATTAACAAGAGTTTGGGGCGATAGTTCGAAAAGAACGAAAGAGTACCTTTCAAAATAAAAACTTTAAACATACTGAAAGTGGTCTTTTAATCATTTAAGAGTCGAGGGATTGAAAAGCGCGCAGTGCAAAGCAGAAAGGATCCGAGTGTTCCTGCGAAGACGAATTGGGAGTCACTTGAGCTGTTTACGAGAATCAGAAGTGAAGTGAAGCTTGGTAAAAGAGTAGAGCTACTTAGAGACTCTATTAAGAATACATTATAAAAACAACATGATTTTTCATGGATCGCCTTTGTTTATTCTTCGTTGGCGTAGTTTCTACCGTTAACCGTTACTATGTCGCGATTAGTAATAAGTTAGGTTACCGATTCTATTCCTTTTAGAATAATACCGTATCCAGTTCTTGTTAAACTGTTCTACCTGTACACTGGCTACTGCATGATTACTATCCCACCTGATTGTAAGTGGCTACGTCGATTGCAATATAGTAAAGGCTTATTAACTTTACCTATTAAAAGGATTTTACTCAGCAAATTGATAAATATTCATGTAATATTCGGAATATTTGCAGCTCCTATTGTCATTGCGATTGACCAGTTTTAATTGAGTTTAATCTTTGTACAGATTAAATAAATATTTATTATTAAACAAAATATGTATTTAAAGATAAAAAATCGATGAGAAATATAATTTTTGGCCCAAATCGAAATTCGGAGAAATATTCCGAAAGAGAATTCATGGCAACAGATTAATTTGAAAACCTATTCCAGAAAATGGGCACGTAACGAGTTTATGTAAAATTATCAAAAGGTTCGTTCAATACAGGCTTAGGGCAAAGATAATATTTGATATCCATTATGTTTAAGATACTTCTAACTCTCGGGCCTAATTGGTAAATTATCGTACATTTATTACGTTGAAAATATTTTGGATACTCAGTAACGAAAATAAATATATTCTAGTGGATGCTTGTGGTCAATGATTTCTCACTTTCTTCATAATAGAGATGAGTCAGCGATAATAAAAATTAAATATTTAAATATTAATCAGTGACAAGGTACAAATATGCAAGGATGATTAACGGGCCTTTTGAATAATAAGAACGTCTAAACTAGCTACCTTCTACTTGTTGTCCTATAGTTTGTCTTCTATGTTGCACGAATGGACAGGTCCGTCCGGGTGAGTACCACGACCTCGCAGAAGACCGGCGTGAAGTAGAAGTGCTATACTTCTGCGTTTCATCCGGTGAGTGAGGTAGCCGCGGCGCACTTAACATCAGGTGAACCGCCGGCTCGCTTGCCACCTTATCACATAAAACCGTCCGTACCATGCACTTGAATACTGCAAAGTATTTTATGATTCCAGGAATCTCACCCAGACGTTTTAAACACTAAGCTAAACGGGTGATTGCTACGCCGACGAGAATTACGTGTTTTAGTCTAGTTTGTTTTTTCGCATTTTAGACAATACTTGTCGTTATCTATCGTTATGTCCTTTTACAGCACACAAACAAATTTGATTAACTTTAATTTTATTCAAAGATGTTTGTGTGCTGTGACATTATACCGAGATTATTAGATCGAGAGACGTCGCCATTGCTAGTGAAATTTAAATTTGATGATAAGATTTTACAGTGCTAATCTCTCCACTTATATGAAAAATTTCTTGTAGAAATTGTTCCGCCGCGCTAATCGAATCCGGGTCTTCCGGAATTGCGTCCAGACGAAATAATACGGTTACATTACATAAATGACAATAAAACCTACTGGTCGGCGGCTTTTATTACTGGAGATTCGTTTTTTTTTTAATGGGAAAGGGAGGCAAACTTGCATGCGGGTCATCTGATGGTAAGTGATGAGTTATCTCCAATGCAGGAGATTTTTATGGCTATTTTCGTAAGTTATGATAGTAAAATAATATATTTAACAAAATGGGTACATACACCATTTTGTTAAATTTATTTTATTGTGTGCGACCATATGTTTCATTTTCTTCCTTCCTTCCTTTTCTTTCTAACTTCTATGTTCTACACTGAAGACATTCTGCATATATGCCCAACATAACGAAGCTATTCCAGAGCATTACATGCAAAATATTATGTCCCATTCCTGTTGAAAGGGTCGACGCTAATTAATTATTAATTAAATCATCATTACATTCAAGAAATTCACATATATGCATATACAAATTATTTAGTCTTTGTATTGTCTTTTTATTTATTCACAAAGAGCGTATAATTGCAAATGTAATGTTCATACAATCGAGGCTTTTGATCGGTGTCACGACTAGCTCAGGTCGCTTGAGCGCTTACTGAACTTCCCAACGCTGAACGCGCTCCAAGTGCGCGAATAAAAATCGCAACGACCGTGCCGGTTTAATCTTTAAGTGAGACGCACCGGGCGCCCGCTAATAGCCTCGTTCGCGGTGATTTACGTGCAACGTTCACGCAACCAACCCGCACCACTTTAAGCGCACGATAGCCATAATCGCCATCGATAGATCGTCCCGGCAGCGGGATTTCCGGTGGGGGGAACGCAACAACTTCAGAGAGAACTGACCATTTCATTTTTAATTTTTTTTTTTTTTTTTCATTTTATGCGAAAAGTTGTCAAACGAGCAGACGGTTCACCTGATGTTAAGTGAATACCGCCGCCCATAGACATCTGCCACACACGAGGGTTACAGATGCGTCGACAACCTTTTGAAAATTGGGCTCCGGCTACCTCACTCACCAGACGAAATGCGAAAGTATTTGTCATACTTCCACTTTACGCTGGTGTACTGGCTTGCCTTCCTTACTATCCTTCCACATCCTTACATTAATTAATCTAAAATAAACTCACAACGCCATCTGTTGGCCTATAAGAAGAGTTTGAGCGAGTGAAGTCGACGCGATCGATACCCGCCTTTTATACGTAAAATTGAATCAAGACAATCAAGACTTCATCGGTAACGTCGCTTCTGGTGTGCAGATTCTAAATTTAAAATAAACTTAATTACGTGTTAGTGACTGCATAGGGTCGACCCAGCTTAGTGCATAGACTTAAATATCACCTAGAAGTGTGGTCAAGGAAGACCGAAGCCTTCCACATTCCTGGACAACATCGAAGCTGATCCCCGTCTCCATTAACCGTGAGTCAACCTTATTCATTTATCCTTCCTGGTGAGCCAGTCTAATTTTCTCTCACTAAAGGTAAATTGAACAGATTTCCCCACGCAGGTTCTAATCATTATTTCAAAAATTTTATAAGTAGTTAAGTGTCGCTATTACTTCTAAAGTTCAATATGCGCATTCGCTACCAGCTGGTCTTCTGTGAGGTCGTGGTACTTACCCGGACGGGCCTGCCCATTCGTGCAACAGCCGAGGCTGCTGCATGGCCCTACCACCGACCATTCGACGGAAGCCTTTTTATCACGAGTTTATTTTGCACTTTTTAACAACATTTAAAAACATGCAAATAAACGTTTTATAATTCTAAGGTTAATTAATATTTATAATTCAATTAATGATACAGCCGTGATAGCTGAGAGCGCTCGCTTTCATTTGAATATACTCGAGTAACCTGAGTTCAAATACCAGTGCACCAATGAAATTGTTAATTTTATGTGCTGACTTATCACGTGCTCAGCGATGAAGGATAATATCGTGAGAAAACCGCATAATTTTCCAAATAATCAAAAAAATAATATTTCGAAGATATAGTTTTGTAACAGTTCATTGAGAGTTCAGAACAAGTTTTGGTAGGAACCATATGCGTTGTCGTTTGATTTGCGGGAAACAATTTGTCCGATTCTGTCCGAATTTAATTTGGACATCTCTAAATCAGTTTACCATCTTCATCCATCCTTCTATCGCTTTTTACGTCCGTACTATAATGGTCCACGAGCCAAGCACCGGCGGATGGCATTAAGTCGTTATTTATTTCGATCAAAGTTTCCTAGCGCTCGAACTAATTTCTTAATAACTTATCGCTCTTTTATTTATTTATTCATTTACACTTTATATAGAATCTAGTACAAAGGCGGAATTAATGCCAAAGGCATTTTCTACCAGTCGACCTTAAGGCTAATTATGAGAAAGTCTAAACTAGGGTCGGCTGCTACCTTCTGCTTGTTATCCTATAATTAGTCTTCTATGTTGACCTTGTGACCTTAAGCTTGTTACATATTGTACCCACCTCGTTCGCAGAAGGCGCCTTCGTAGTCGCCGTCTCGGCACTCGCATATGGGGCCATCGTCGGTGCTGATGCAGACGCCGCCGTGCTGGCATGGGTCCCGGCGCTCGCAGGCGTCCCCGCTCGCGTTGCCGATCCGAGACGACTGCAACGAAGAGTGCATGTAGAGTAAAGGAGAGGAGTGGCAGCGGCGTGCAACAGCTTCAGCTGTTGCACGAATGGGCAGCCTGGTCCGGGGAAGTGCAACGCCCCCACAAAAAACCGGTGTTAAGTGGACGTATTAAACTTTCGCTTTTTGTCTTATGAGTGAGGTAGCCGTCCAATTCGGTAGGGCTTCTGCTGTTGCACTAATGGGCAAGCTTGTCCGATAGTCCAACTAGCACGGCCCCACACAAGACCGGCGTCATGTGGAAGTATTGGACTTTTACGTTTCGTCTTGTGAGGTAACCGATGCCCACTTTTTTAATGGTTGCCAACGCATCTGCAAGCCCTCAGGTGTTGCAGATGTCGATGAGCCCGCCGCTCACTTAATATCAGGCGACTACTTTTCACATAACAAAAAAAAAGATGTGAGTGTGAATGAATGTAAGTAGAATGTATTCTTCAAGGTAAGCGAGTGTTTCAGTTAATGGTAAGTGATTAACTGAACCCATAGATACGCAACATCTCTCTTGCTCTCTCTCTTGTTATAAGTAAAACTTATACACTGGTTAACACTGGTCTCGCAACTTCCACATCCTACGCTTTGCTTAGAGATAATATTTTTATTCCTATTTAAACAGCAAAAGACCACCGCATTGAATAACGACTATATCATTTTATAATCACTAACCAGCGAGAAGAAAGCGGTCGCAAAGTTTGTCACTTTGAACGAAGTCTGGTGCCTTTATTGAGCATAGATGTACTGCAGGGGTCCTGGCGTGACCAAATTTAGGCTAATTAGTCCCGTTTTCGTGCTCCGAACCAACTTTCGTTCGCCGAACCGTCGATCCTCTGTGACTACACAAAGTTTGCTAACAATAATTAAGTTAGCGTGAATTCTTAAACGGTGACATTTGTGGCAAAAGTAACTATTGAATTGGTCCACTTGACAACAAATGAACTGTTACTTTACGTACGTTGCTTTGACAAGTTGAAAACACTTCTATTGAACGATTTTATAAACGTACTAGCTGCCGCCCGCGTCTACGTCTGCGTCGAATAGGTTGACAGTTGACAGAAAGACGGATATAAATTATAAATATGTATATAAATTATAGCATATGTGTTATTCTGATGTATAAGCTTTATTATTGTAAAGTTTCATTAAAATCCATTCAGTATTATTTGCGTGAAAGAGGAACAAATATCCTTCCATACATACAAACTTTCGCCTTTATAATATTAGTAAGGATATGACTAAAATGATAGAGGCCTGCCGTTCTGTCGAGCATCACGGAAAAGCTACGGAATAGATTTAATTCTTCTAAGTTTTATTACTTAGACACTTGGCCCTTGTCTAAAAATATATTGTTATTTCTTTTATGTATTTAGTATTTATAAAAAAATATTTTATAAGCATTTTAGGTCGTGTTTTTTCTGGTGAGAAGTGGGGCAAACGGCGTAATTGTCAATTCTTTTTTCAATATTCTAGTCATGAGGAAAGTAGTTGGTTACTTTACTCGCAAATTCATATATTTCGTGTAAGAAGTAACAAGCATAAAAAACAGATATGAATGCAGTCGCAAATTGTGAAATTATAGAGTATTATATTTTTTCCAATGAAACTATTCAGGCCATCAATCAAACAAAAGTTAACAATATACCATAACGTATTATACCTAGGCGAGCTGTTCTTCAAGCTTTAATATTTGCGACACACGAATTCCTCTTTACAGCGTTCCGAACGAAGCCGTTATTTGTTTAATGAAAAGGACAATGGTGCACATTTTAATAAATGCGAACAGATGTAGTTCGGGCACGGGTTTCAGTTTCATAATGTGAAAATGTGAAACAATTTCATTTTTATTTTTTTTCGTATAATTTTAACTTTTGCGCTTATAATAAAAAAATTTACTCTGAAACTCAATTGTTATTTGCTACAATACCTCATACAGTATATAGCTGGATTATATAGTATGGAAGCAAGGAATAGTAGTAGTAATACAGTTGAGTCTAGTGGGACTGTGAAGTTAGTAGGTTCAATTCTCCATCCGGTGATCCACAGCATTTTCGTTTTCGGAGATTCACGTGAGTCATATTTTTAATTAGAATAATTCGACTCTCTATTTCTGTCTTAAAAACAGATAAACGTTCGCTTCCGAGTAAAACTTAGCCTCAACAAAGTCTGACAAAATCGTTTGCTTATTTATGTAAAAGCCGACGGCAGGTGATTTACCTGACGTTAAGTGAATAACCGCCACCCATGAACGTATACAACGCCTGACGGGTTGCAGATGCGTTGCCAAGCGTTGAAAAAGTGGGTCCCGGGGGAAACGCGAAAGTATATACTTTCGCTTCACACTGGTCTGTGTGAGGTAGTGGTACTTTTGGGCAAGCCTAGTAAGCCAAGAAACAATGCTGCTGAGGGATCCTAAATACGGATGAAGCGAGTTATTTCGGGATTCAACAAAATCACCAAACCCCTGTATGGGCCATTTAAATAGATAAGAATATTTATTCTTAGAATTTAGTTTGACGCGTAACCACCTCACGGTCGTTAAAGCAAATTCACTGCGACGGGAACGAAGAAAAAAAGGAGCCCAGATTAAACTCTTGTATAAACAAACCAAATGAGGGTATAGAACGTCGTTATCTCAAACGCTAACCGCTGATTGCTTTCAACGCAAAACCGGCTGGATTGGTGTAGAAAATAAAACCGTTTAAAAACTTTTAAGTTAAACGGTTTTATTTTATGTGCACTGAAAACTACAATATTGTATTGTCATCTAAATTAAATGTGTGTACCAAATTTCAGATCAATCTGACAACGGGAAGGTGCTTAAATTTCAATTTCTAATTTTGACCCAAATAAATAAACAAATTCCGTACGGGTCGAGCTAAATAAAACCGTTTAATATTGTTCACTGACATTTTAATGAAATCTTGTCAAACCGCTATCGTTATATGTTAAAAATGAAATCAGAAAAACATCATATCTCCATTTTTTCAGATAGATGTTGAGATTTTCGTCGATATTGCAATCAGCTGTTTAGCTCATCGGCTAACGCGTCTGGGCGCGAATCCGTAAGACGTAGTTCAATTGACGATCAAGAAAGATTTTGTCCTTTTTTCTACAAATATTAATGTTTCATCTTAAGTACAGATATAAGATTTTATCCCAAGTGTATATACTAATAGTGTGTTACATACATACAAACATGCAATAATATATTTAAACATTATTATATAATATTCGTATTTACATACATATCAATTTAATTTTAACAATCTAACACGCCAATAAAATATTGTTTCATATATAAACTTATAACATTTTTCTCTTTTTCGTACTGAAATAAAACGTAATATAATGAAGTCGAAATTAAAGAAAAACATTACATACGTACACTATCGCCGGTTGAACCAGGATAAAGAACAGATGTAAAAAGAACTAGACCTTGATATGAATTTCATTTATACTAAAAAAGTTTACTATGTATATAAAAAAAGGTTAATGTAACTTCGATGTCTATTTAAATATAATATTTTTGCAGAGATATCATTCACCTTTTATTGTGATTCACGTCATATATAACACTTGTAACAATTAACTCTGGCTGGGTGCTTCTATTCATGCCACCACGCGTCCCCGCTTCGGGTTGGCGGACTACACATATCTTCGAAATATTTTTTTTCGCTATTAATTCACAGAAAGTATGCAGATTTCCTCACGATGTTTCCTCCATCTCTGAGCACGTGATGAGTCACTTAAATCAACAATTTCACCGGTGCCGGCTCCGGGGATCGAACTCAGGTTGCTCGAATAAATTGAATTAAAAGCGATCGCGCGGACATTGAGCTGTCACGGTTCTTTTGTCGCATTGCCACATTCAAATCGCGAGGATTTTGAGCGCACGCAAATCGCGTAACAAACGAGACGCTAAATTTTTAAAATTGCTTTCCACAATTTTATAGGCCGCGAGTGAACCTGACAGCTGTGTATTTCAGACTTCCCAGTATAATAAAACTGTGCTGTATTCTATGAAAAATTCTTTATAATCCGCCGCTGAAAACTCGTCGCATACCCAATGGCCTTCGCGTGCCATATGGCTTTGTAAAATTAACTAAACAATACGGTATCTGACGACTGATAACATGTTTCTCAAAGTTCGACAATCTTTAGTTATTTGGTGTTGACTTGTGAATTAGGGAACGGTGCAGTTAATAATCTGCAATGTACATTTTAGGGGAAATGTACAATAAAGATTTGTGCACTCATGAACAAGCGCGATGATTGAATGGGTGTGAAAGAGACAGAGGTATACGTTATGTAGCTTTCTACGCCAAAATCGACTCTTGTTTTAAAAAGAGTCGACAAAAACGACTACCTTTAAGGTCGTTTCCTGACATAAAGTCAAAATCTTGATTTCCTCAATTGGGTCCTTTTAATTCTAAAGGTGCGAATTACACTCCTCCGTGAAAAATAACTAGGCCTGTAGAATAAAAAAGAAAAATAAGCAAAATTAACATTACTGAGCGTGGTGGCCTTATACGTTCTGTGTACCTGTGAGTCAAAACGTGGCTAAGTGTTTTTACATAACAAAGTTACTGCGCACTTTCACACTGATCGGAACTTAATAAGACCTTTTCGTATTAACTAGTTTTTTCCTTTTTTTTAACCCATAATGCAAGATAGGATATTAATGTGTTGTACAATAATTTTACAAATAAAAAATAAGCAATGACAAACATTCGGAAAAAAGTTCTTTAGGCCACACAATTTGCGATTGCACTAACTGAGTCAATCTAACGAAATTTTTAATCTCTCTTCAAAAAAAAATAATTAATATTACCTTAGTAAGATCCAAAGTATATCGCGACGCAAATCCCGCCCTTAGCCACGAACAATCATCGAAGATAATGTCGGAATATAAGCAATAAACGTGGAATTTCGTAGAGCCAACCCTCTTTAGAAAAGACGACGCGCGTCAGACGTCCGGGAGATAAATGCAGATTGGTTAT